CACTTTTATTTTTCGGGTGCTAGACCAAAGAACCTTTCCTTCATTTTATAGATTATGCTTTTTGGTAAAGGTACTTGGGCACAAACCTCCCGCTTTCGTTCGGAGACAGAGAATTTATGCTTTATTAGTTTAATTTTTAATGCACTCCATCGTCGTATAGATAAGTTCATTTTTACATTAGAAGTTTGAATAATGCTACTGTTACGTATTGACATACTTGGCCCACTCAATCCGAACCACGTGGCACTCTAGCCGAAGTGGGTTGAATAGCCGATGCCCTTTATGCCGAGGCCCATATGCCGAGGCCTTTAATGTTGCCGAACTCCATATACCGAGGCCTGTGGATATTTCCGAAGCCCTGAAGGGGAAGTAATACGTGAGCGGCAGAAGCCCCCGAACCATGAAGGAACTTCTTCCATGATCATCTCTCCCAATAGATCTTCTACATAAAGATCTTGTTTGAATGATTGATGGACCGTTTGTCATGAGTGCATATGTCAAGTCTTATCACTAGCATGGGGGTTCTGCACAAGCAATAAATGCGCAGCAAGCTAGCAAGTCCAGGATGATGCCTAGGATTGGATGTTTGAGTTAAGGAGATGAGGCCACGTGCCACCTCATCAAAGGGCTGTCATTTCACATGTAACACTATAAATACTTCCTCTGTATAACATCGAAAGGCTAATGCAAGAATCAATACAAGAAACCACACTTTACTCTCTCTTTAATATTGTCTTACAACACAATACAAGTCTATACATATTTACATTCACATTCATGAACACCGATTGATAATTATTGTACAATCGGATTATGAACATCCCGTCGGATTCCGAACGTACTTGTCCCGCGTCGTTGAGCTACTCCTACGCCCCTAAAGAGGTTCGTTCCAGACAGTCCACGTGTCTTAGCGTGTAGGACCTTCACTCACGCGTGCGCGGGTGGTTCCGGCATCTGTTGGCAACACTTTTTGGGATCAACAGATTGGCGCCATCTATGGGAAACCATACCATAACCATGAACAACCTTGTGGTGGAAACTTATTGAAGAACATTTGGGCAACCTCCTTGAAAAAGGATTTGTTTTTTAAAAAAAATAAGAGGAAGCCCCAAAACTTAGCAAAATCTAAAGTCAGACGAAAATAAAATGAGTTCAAACGAAGACACATCCTCCAGAAGGGTAAGAGAAAATGCAAATATACCTCCTCCACCCGCTGCCCCATCAGGTCGGCAAAGACTCCACCACCACCAAAAAAGAGGTGGAATGCGGGCAACGGCCCGACTGTCAAGAGAAATGGCTGCCATGATGGCCAACATGAGAGACATTGCTAGCCAAAACTTGGCTATGAGGGAGCTCATGGCCAAAATGCAAGGCCAGGGGAGCTTCCCGATTCCTCCATATGCCCCTCACGGGCACTATCAGCAAGAAGATGAAATTCAAAGTCATAGAACTGCCTCGTGGACTATAGCCGAGGTGGAAGCCCATTTGAAAGGGAAGTGGGAGTTGATATTTCCTCCAAATACGCTTCCGATCGACCCACCGAGGTCCCATTGAATCATGATAACTTCCCACCTCCATATGAGCAAGAGTCAAGACAAAGGAGGGCAGACAGTGTATTTGACAGAATCATCCCCGCTGAACCAAGGCTTAGGCAACATTAGACACATTAGCCTCGGACGAGACCACAGCCTCCACTTTCGATGCCCCAGCAATCGGAAAAAAGACATGAAAATGTCCCCCGTGTTGCTTCGCCTAGAAATAGGCACCAGAGGAGGGAGGACGAGGCTTGGAACCGTCCCGGAACCTCTCACCAATTACCACGGCAAGAGGTCAAGGAATATGATTCAGATGAACAGCCGAGATTTTGTGACTTGGATGATGACGATGACAATTTGCCGTTCTCAAGGGAACTAAGAAATGCCCAGGTTCCAAGTCACTATGTAATGTCAAAGATACCAAAGTATGACGGAAGAGGCGACCCGGAGAAGCACCTGAATGCTTATAAAACCCACATGAGCCTAAGAGGTGCCACCCCAACTGTGAAGTGCAGAGCTTTCCATTTAACACTTGGTGGAGCAGCTAAAATATGTATAGCAGGTTGCCACCGGGGAGCATAAGAAGCTGACCCGAGTTCAAGACAACATCCTTGAAGAGGTTTGCGGTAAGCAAAGAAGGAGAGGCCCCTATCCAACGTCTCCAAGACATGAGACAAGCACATGGAAAGTCCCTAAAGAGCTTCCTATCTCGCTTCACCGATGAAATGATGTATTGCGTGCAAGTCACCGACCGTGAAGCACTATCCGCATTAAGAGGAGGTTTGAACATGAATACCGTATTCTGGAGGGACGTGCAGAATCAGGATCCCACCACCTATGATGCCCTACTCGAGATGATGAGGTGAGAAATCATCAATGAAGAATTGATTGAGCATAGGAACAGGGCAAGCCGAGGCCTCCCACCTCCTCAGAGGCAACTTGCTAGAGGGCCGACTTCCCACCTGATGGACTACCAAATGAACCAAACTGGAAATGAGAGTTCCGGCTAAGCACTTGCCACCACCACTTTAAACACGGTTCCTACCCTGGCATATGAGGATATCAACCCAATTACCAACACCCAGCAGATGGAAACCCCCCAAGGATTCTATAGAGGAAGAGGCCGAGGTCGGGGTTTGAGACCTAAAAATAGGTCCAACCAGAACCCACCAGGATACTGTGTACACCACAGGTCCTACGGACACGACATGACAGATTGCCGAGACTTTGCGCACTGCTCCAGGGCGGAACCCCCCAGGCACAGAAATGAATCGCCTCAAGCAAATAGGCCCCCGTCCAGGCACGAAAACCAACATGGGGACGAGGAGGTCGCTCCTCGTCAAAGGGATGTTTCCCCACGACGAAGGGAGCATGATATAGAGAGGCCCAAGGAAGGGCACAGGCACCGAAAAAATCGACAAGTCCAGAATGAGGCTCCTATCCACGAGATAGATACCATATTTGGAGGTCCGTATGTTGGCGATGAAACACGAAACGCCAAAAGGAATTACGCCCGGAAGGCTAAACACCCCCCTTTGACAAGTTACATTGTGGACAGCAGCTCCAGGAGGAACCAAGTTCCACCCATCATCTTTACTCAGGAAGACGCTGAAGGAGTTCACTTCCCCCATTGCGATGCACTTGTTATGAAGGTCGTCATAGCCCGAAATGGGCTCAAGCGAATGTTAATTGACAACGGTAGCTCTGTCAATATTCTATTCGGATCTGCCTTTGACAAGATGATATTGGATCATCAGTTGACACCCACTACAACTCGTCTGTATGGATTCACCGGAGATAGCATCACTCCAAGGGGAAATATAACACTTGCAGTGGAGATGGGAGAGTCCTCCCAAATTACAATGAACTTCATGGAATTCCTCAATGTTGACAGCCGATCGGCTTACCATGAAGTATTAGGTAGGCCAGCCCTAAAGGAATTGAGAGTAGTCACCTCCATCCACCATCTATGCATGAAATTTCCGATGAAAATGGGGTAGCAATGGTGAGAGGTGACCAAAGAGGGTCACGAGAGTGCTATCTAAGCTCCATCAAAAAGGTAGAGCCCCGGGACGTCCATGTAATCATAGTCGATATAGTCATGGCTGACATCCCAGGTGATGCTCCCACTGAACCAGAAGATATCGTTATGATAGATGCATCACCCAATCCGGAGGTCTTGGTCATTGACGAGATTGATCCCCGCATAATTGAACACAAACCTCAAGCATTCCCAATCGAGGAACTTGAGAACTTCTCGGTGGACCCCCGAGACCCATCCAAGATGCTGAGAATAGGCAAGGGCTTATCCAACACTCTGAAGGAAAAGATTAAAAATTTCCTAAGCAAGAACCTTGATGTCTTTGTTTGGAAGCATGAGGACATGGTAGGCATAGACCCCAAGGTCAGTTGCCACCACATGAAGGTCGATCCTAAAGTTGCCCCACACAGGCAAAAAAGGAGAGCCCGCAATCCTGAACGGTACGAGACTCTGAAGGAAGAGGTTCAGAAGCTCGTCCAAAATGGATTTATCAGGGAAGCTACCTATCTGAGGTGGGTCTCCAACCCAGTTTTGGTAAAGAAACACAATAGCAAGTGGAGGGTGTGCATCGATTTCACCAACCTCAACAGAGATTGCCCGAAAGACAGCTTTTCTCTCCCAAGGATTGACCAACTAGTAGACTCCACGGCTGGGCATGAGTTGTTGAGCTTCATGGACGTATACTCCGGCTACAACCAAATACCCATGCTCCCGGCCGATGAGGAGCACACTTCTTTCATCACAGATCGAGGCCTCTATTGTTATAGGATGATGCCCTTCGGGTTTAAAAATGCCGGAGCAACTTATCAAATGCTCGTCAACAAAATGTTTATGGACCTCATCGGCAAGACGAGAAGGTATATGTGGATGACATGTTGGCAAAAAGTCTGGAGGCTGAGGACCACATAACACACCTCAACAGCACCTTCCAGTTCCTGAGAAGATATAGGATGAGGCTCAACCCCCTCAAATGCGCCTTTGGAGTGGCTTCAGGCAAATTCTTGGGATACATGGTCAATCAACGCGGAATTGAAGCCAACCCGGAGAAGATTGAGGCCCTATACAAGATGAGGTCCCCCCAAAAGTCAAAGGAAGTGCAAAGTTTGACTGGGCGGGTGGCCGCACTTAGCCGCTTCGTCTCTAAAGCTATAGACAAATGTCTCCCATTTTTCAAAGTGCTGAACGATGAATGTGAAGAGGCCTTCCAAGGCCTGAAAAGGCACTTGGGGCAGGCCCTCCTCCTCTCCAAACCAAAGCCTGGAGAAATCCTACAACTATACCTTGCCGTCTCAAATGAGGCCATCAGTTCGGTTCTGACTCGAGAAGAAGGAACCACCCAACTTCCAGTTTACTATACAAGTAAAGCACTCCTATCGTCGGAAACCCGTTACCCCGATATGGAGAAACTCGCTTTGGCCTTGATCATGGCCTCTAGGAAACTAAGACCCTACTTCCAAGCTCACACTATCCACATGCTGACAAACTTTCCCCTAAGGCAAGTGCTCCAAAAGCCTGATGCCTCAGGAAGATTATTGAAGTGGGCAGTGGAGCTAAGCAAATTTGACCTCATGTTTAAGGCTAGGGCAGCCATCAAGGGTCAGGCCTTGGCTGACTTTGTGGCAGAATTCACCAACTTACCCAACGTGGATGAAATCAGGGAACCCGCTGAGCCTCCTACATGGGACTTATTCGTAGATGGGTCGGCTGGAAACGCCGGCTCAGGTGCTGGAGTGGTCCTCATCAACCCTGAAGGTCACAAGCTAAACTCAGCGGTGAGGTTCGAGTTCAAGGCCACCAACAATGTAGTAGAATATGAGGCCCTACTTGCAGGCCTCAGGTTGGCCAAGGAAATGCAAGTAAAGAGGCTCCTCATAAGTAGTGACTCCCAGCTGGTCGTTAGCCAAGTAAATGGTAACTTCTCAGCCAAGGACAAAACAGTGGCCTCCTACCTGAAAATGGTGATGAACCTCATTCCATCATTTGAAAAATTGGAACTAATCCAGATCCCCCACATCGAAAATTCTCATGCGGATGCACTCTCCAAGCTCCCTAGTAGCAAGGATTCAGAACTACTCGCAGTAGTACCTATAGAGTACCTCCTCCTACCATCGATCGAGGCCCCCAATGTCATGTGGGTCGCTGGGACCCCTACCTGGATGCAGCCAATCGTAGCATACCTTAAAGACCAGGTACTTCCCACTGACAAGCTTGAGGCCTACAAGCTAAGGAGGAGGTCAGCCCACTTCCTCTTCATTGATGATGTTCTCTGTAAGAGAAGCTTCTCCTCTCCACTCTTACGGTGCGTCATAGGAGAAGAGGCTAACTACATATTAAGAGAAGTCCATGAGGGCGTGTGCGGCAATCACTCTGGAGGTCTATCTTTAGCACAAAAATTATTGAGGCAGGGGTACTACTGGCCTACCCTGAAAAGGGACGCCCTCTAGTTTGTATGAAAGTGTGACAAATGCCAACGATTCTCTTCGGTACAAAGACAACCGTCGCAGGATTTGACTGCGGTCTCCAGCCCTTGGCCTTTCTCAAAGTGGGGTGTGGACCTCATAGGTCCTCTAGCTAAAGGTAGAGGAGGTGTGAGCTTCGCAATTGTGGCCATCGATTACTTTACAAAATGGGTTGAGGTCGAACCACTTGCAAAAATTACAGAGGCAAACACTTCCAAGTTCTTATGGAAGAATATTATATGCCGGTTCGGGATCCCCTATTTGATCGTCTCAAATAATGGCAGACAATTCGACAACAAGAAGGTCAGAGAACTATGCAAGAAACTTGGCATCAAAAAATATTTCTCCACACCTCACCACCACAAGCAAATAGCCAAGTTGAGGCTGTCAACAAAACAATCAAACATGTCCTGAAAAGGAAGCTTGGTGCGTCGAAGGGGGCCTGGGTGGATGAGCTGCCACAAGTACTTTGGGCGATCCGAACCACCACGAGGACCCCAACTGGAGAAAACACCCTTCCTCATGGCATTTGGAACTGAGGCAATGAGCCCCGTTGAGGTCGGACTACCGTCTTCAAGACGTCTGCATTTTAGTGAGATGACAAATGTCGAGTTTCAGAGATGCAACCTCGACTTCATTAAAGAAAGAAGAGATGACTCCCAGTTGAAGCTCGGTACATATCAAAGGAAGATGACGAGCTACTTCAACTCAAAAGTCAAGAAAAGATCATTCCGAATCAACGACTTGGTTCTTAGAAGAGTTTTCCTTTCCTCAAAGGAACCTGGTTCCGATTCTCTGGGTCCGAATTGGGAAGACCCATATAAAATCAAAGAAGAGATTCGGACTGGAACTTATTGGATTGAAGACATGAACGGCAAGGCACAACCCCGTCCATGGAATATCGAGCACCCCAGAATCTATTACCAATGAGTGTATCACCTCGTTGGAAGGTCTTCCCCAGCTCATGTAATGTTTCCATGATTCAATAAAATTCATTTGCTTAAAACTGTTGCATTACGTCGTAACCTCGGAGGAGAGGTTAGGGTCTCGTCTCTGGGCTACCTCGCTTGAACTCCGAGGCTCATGCACATGCCTCCCTTTGGCGAGACTGAACGCCAAGGGGAGAAGCCTCAACATGACTGCACCATCCACCATGTTAGGAAGCGTCGTCACCTCGGAGGAGAGGCTAGGGTCCCATCTCTGGGCCACCTCGTTTGAACTCCAAGGCGTATGCACATGCCTCTCTTTGACGAGACTGAACGCCAAGGGGAGAAGCCTCAACATAGCTGCACCATCCACCATGTTGGGAAGCGTCGTCACTTCGCTTGAAATTCGAGGCTCATGTACTTGTATCAGAGTGATATTCCCAGTTCGGCTACAACACGGTCCATTCTTAGGATCCCTTCAGGTTACAGTTATTAAGTTCAAGTACAATTCATTTGCTTAAGTCCCATATTGGTCATAACTCGTGAGGCTTGCATACAATTTATTTGTTCAAGTGATTGGAGTTAGGATACCCAGTTGAAGTTATTTAGTTCTTTAATCAACTTTATGTTTAATTACTTAACGAGGCCAATACACTTGAGAGAAAAAAACGACATTGAATGAAGAAGAGATTATATTAACTTTCAATTCAAAATACAAAGGAGGGCCTGAGCCCAGTACATTATCAATGACCGAAAAGAAAACTATCCTAAGCCTGGGAAGGTGATGGAGGTGCTTCGACAGCTGGGACTTTCGCAGCTTGAGCGTCAGAAATTGCTTCTCCTGCTTCTGCTCCTACCACCTCATCAGCTGGGGTTTGAGGTACCTCGTCCACAAACTCCGACCTGAGTTGCGACAGGTCCTGATTTGGGTACAATTCCTCAGCCCGCTCCATCACCTCAGCGTAAGCAAAATTCCTCCAGTAGGTGCCGAAGCTCTGGTACTCCGCAATGTTGTGGAAATTAGCAATATAATCCTTCACTGCCTCCTCCCTTGCATTTTGGACTTCCTCCCCAGCATGAGTTGCATCATCGACATACCACTTGATTTGGCTTTCGAGGTACTTGTACGCATCTTGGGCCCCTGCCAGCTCCAGATTAGCCTTCTCCAAGGCTTCAGCTGTCACCCTTTGGTGGTCATTGAAAACCTCCACCTTCTTCGTCAATGAGGCCACCTCGCACTAGGACTCATGTACCTCCCTCTTCAACGCCTCTATCTGAGCCAAGGCAGACTCTAGCTTAGCCGATTCTTCAAGTTTTTGGGCCCTGGCATCTTCAGCTTCGGCCTTAGCCGCCTTCAGCTCCTCTGCAAGGGAGGCATTCTTTTTCTCAGAGGATAGGGTCCTCGTCTGAAAGTCTGTAAGAGCCTCCCTACACTCCAGTGCGAGACCAAAGGTCCTAACACTTTGGCTCACAAGAGCCCTGGTTAAATCTATCGCATTGTAGGAGGAGGCGTGCAGCTGCCAGCGATCCGTCTAAAATCTGTAAAAACTTTCAGTGGCGCTTCGGATCTCAGGTGGCAGGGCCTCCACCAAAGCTGGGGCCACAGGCTCCTCCCTGCGGGCAAGGAAGCTCAGAGACTTGCCTTGTACACGAATAGGTCTCTCTTTGGCAGCCTCCTCCTCAGCTGCCTCAGCTTGCCTCCTCGCAGCCTCCTTAGTCTCAACACGCCCGACCATTTCAATCTTGACCGCTTTTGAGGTGGCTTCTAGTAGCTTCAACGGTCCGGCTTCTTTACCTTGGGACATAGAACTCCCAAATTTCCCAGAAGAGCTGGAGAGGTGCACGAGTTTCCTCTTCTTCGGCTCTTCAGAAACCTTCTCTTTCCCCCGAGGCTCCTTGGCCTTTTCTTGCCTCTGGGAGACCCCCTCTTCGGAAGCCCACGAAGTACTATCCTTGGAGAGTCGTTCAACCCTACCTCGGACCTCCTTTGCACCACTAGACCCCGCTTCAGGGGCCGTGCCTTCACAGTAGAAGTTGCCTTCAGAATGGACGCCATGTCAAGAGCTGGGTCTTCCTCTTAAACTTATCTGCACAACACACTATGTCAGTACCAAAACGAAAACACAAAAATATACAAGTGTGAGAGCTTCATACCCTTGGAGGCCATCAGTTCGAAGCCAGAAAATAGTGACTTCTGTCGATGAGGTGGTCGAAGTGGCGAAGCTTTAGAGGTCTCTTGTAAATATCCTCTATTACTTCAAACTACTCCCTGCTCAGCTCGAACCTTGTACTGCAATCTGCAAGCGAAGCATCAACAGGTAGACAAACAAAATTAGAGCTAAAAAAGGAATGCAAACTACTAGGGTGGGAGACTCACGAGCTTCGTAGTATTGGGTTGGTACTGTGCAAGACAGGGCTTTGTCTACTTCCACCGCTTGCCACCTGCCCCTAACCCAGAACCACGACTCCTTCCACCCCTTTATGGAAGAAGGTAGCCCCACCACAAAAGGCGCATAGGCCCCCCAGGGAGTCAAGTAATACCACCCCTTGGACTCCTTACCTATTATCCTAGGCTAAAAGAGGGTCATAAAAATGTGGAGAGGCATGTCCTCCCCAAGCGACACTTCCTTCCACAGGAAGTACGACCTGACCAGCTGGCTCCACCCATTTGGCAGAACATGAGTCGGCGACAACATGAAGTTCCTTAGCACAACCTTGAAAAAGGGGTGCAGAGGAAGACGCATACCTGTCTTAAATAAATATTCACTCACTGCAACGCACCCCTGCCTCGGATAATAGGCTCGCTCATGAGCCTCGGGGACTAGCATCTCCATATAATGAGGTACACAGTACCTCTCCCTTATCTCCTCCAACCTCTTCGACGTCATATTCGAAGGGACTCTAGACGTCCCCACTCTACATTGTAATCTACCTCCTCTTCGATCATAGCAATCTGCTTGACCTTGGAGTCTCCCCTATAACTAGACCCCCGACCAAACGATGCGACAGTGACCAACTCCCTACCCGAAGTCAACTCCATCTCAGAAAGCAACTAAGAACACAATAAGAGGATTTTCTGTGAAAAATACCTACTGAAATACTACGCGAACTGAGTTTTCCGGAAAAGTAGTAAACGGGATTGCCTCAACGCCGGAATGTCTAAGCTCTAAGGGGAGAAATCAGAATGCAAATGCTGGAAAATTCTGAAAAAGGGAGTTTTCTCGCCTTTTATAAAGGGCCAGGACGAACCCCCACTGTCAGATCTTCAATCTGAGCCCTTCATTTTAATTCAAATTCGAGGCGTAGAATTCAAACGGTTTTTCAAACCTACGCCTCAAATTTAAGCGTGTCTCCCACGCACCTCAGCCAACGCGTCTGCTTCTAGAAGCTCCAGCTGTTCTAATAATAACGATTTTAATTCGTCGGCAACAGACGCCTTGGAAGTTGCAACGATTTAGCCACCTCTTCTCGAAAACATGCGCAAAACATCAAATCATTCGCACAACTAACAAGGAACAATTATTATCAATTAACATCGGCTTCATCTTCAACATTCAACCATCAAGTCTCGCAAGTTCGATTTCCCAACCACCTCGGCTTCATCTTCAACATTCAGCTATCAAGCCTCGCAGGTTCTGTTTCCCAACCGCCTCGGCTACTACATCATTCACCCGCAAGAACACATTTCAAACTCCAACCATGATATAAATATCTATACTTGGACTTGGGGGACTATTATTTATGGTTCAAAAATTCTTTCAATTTTTACCCAACCCACCGGCTTTACTTCATTAAAGTCCACGCATTACATAAATGACTATACTTGGACTTGGGGGACTATTGTTACATATTGACATACTTGGCCCACTCAATCCGAACCACGTGGCACTCTAGCCGAAGTGGGCTGAATGGCCGATGCCCTTTATGCCGAGGCCCATATGCCGAGGCCTTTAATGTTGCCGAACTTCATATACCGAGGCCTGTGGATATTTCCAAAGCCCTGAAGGGGAAGTAATACATGAGCGGTAGAAGCCCCCGAACCATGAAAGAACTTCTTCCATGATCATCTCTCCCAAGAGATCTTCTACATAAATATCTTATTTGAATGATTGATGGAACGTTTTTCATGAGTGCATATGTCAAGTCTTATCACTAGCATAAGGGTTCTGCACAAGCAATAAATGCGTAGCAAGCTAGCAAGTCAAGGATGATGCCTAGGATTGGATGTTTGAGTTAAGGAGATGAGGCCGCGTGCCATCTCATCTAAGGGCTGTCATTTCACATTTAACACTATAAATACTTCCTCTGTATAACATCTAAAGGCTAATGCAAGAATCAATACAAGAAATCACACTTTACTCTCTCTTTAATATTGTCTTACAACACAATACTAGTCTATACATATTTACATTCACATTCATGAACACCGATTGGTAATTATTGTACAATCGGATTACGAACATCCCGCCAGATTTCGAACGTACTTGT